GTCCGGGTGGGCGTCGTGCTGCCGCCGGAAGCCCGTGGAGCCCGACACGAGCGGCAAGGGGTGGGCGGGGTCAGGTACCGGAGAGTATCCAGTCAGCACCAGTGCGTCACGGAGGTGACTCGGGGGAAAGGGAGCCGGAGGGGGAGAGGAGAACCCAAGAGCGACACGAGCGAACGATTCAAACGGCAACGAAAGGAGGAATCCACCCCTCCTGCTCAGGCCACAGCAAGCGGGGCGGGGGGAGAGCCAGGCCGGCAGAGGAAGGGAAGAACTGACCGTGGAGAGTATCCAGTCAGCACCAGTGCGTCACGGAGGTGACTCGGGGGAAAGGGAGCCGGAGGGGGAGAGGAGAACCCAAGAGCGACACGAGCGAACGATTCAAACGGCAACGAAAGGAGGAATCCACCCCTCCTGCTCAGGCCACAGCAAGCGGGGCGGGGGGAGAGCCAGGCCGGCAGAGGAAGGGAAGAACTGACCGTTGCCAAATCAAAAGGGTGGCAGGGCGGGGAAGAGGAATGGAACCAAAGCAGGGTTTATTGGGAAGTCCTGGTTTAAACGGCGGTCATGCAGATTAAATAAGGAACGTACAAAGACAGAGCCTCCGCCCCTCCTCCCAGGCCTTTGCTTGTGGGGCGGCTGGCGCAGGAGACGTCGGAAGCTGGTGCCCATCGGATCTCTGCCAGCGCTACTTGGACACTTTCCTCAGGGAATGGTTCTTCTCTTGGCCCCACATGTTTGATTAAAAAACTCCTCTTGTCCAGGGGCGGCAGGCTCCTCCCTGCTCCCCAGCTGCCCCGGGAGGGGTCCTGCGGGGTCCCTGCCCCACGCAGGGCCTGCCTGTTGGTGCCGGGCAGTCTGCATTGGCTCCATCCGGCCCTCAACCCCCAGGAGTTTGCGACAGACAAAAAAACCAAGAGGAGAAACCAGGCGTCTCCTACCACCAGTCTGGCTGGGAGACAGGTGCCTAGTGCTCTCTCGGGGGCTGAGCCCCGCTGCCCCCCGGGCCCAGAGGGGACGTGCCAGGGCCCTGTGTCCCGCCGCTTTCCAGCCCCGGCCGCGCGCTCCAGGAGGCCCAAAGGAAAAGAAAAGCGGCCGAGGGCGGCGAGCTCCCCTCCCTGGTGCGGCCTCACGGCGTCGGCTGCAGGTTGGGATCCACCATGGTCTCTCGGTCCGGAGACTCGATGTAGTTGGCTGCTTCCTGGAGCTTCAGCAGCATGGCCATGTGGGCAGGGGGCAGGGGCA